TCCTGATTTCTTCTGTGATCCATTGATTATTTGGTAATGTATTACTTAGTCTTCATGTGTTTGTATAATTTTTGTTTGTTTGCTTTTGGTACCCGGGATTGAACTCAGGACCTTGTGCTTGCAGGGCAGGTGTGCTGCTGCTGAGCTAAATCCCTGGCCCTATTTGTTTGTTTTTTGAGATAGCCTCATTATGTAGTTCAGGCTGGCCTTGATCCTACTGTGTAGCCTAGCTGGCCTTGAACTTGCGGCAATTCTCCTGCCTCAGCCTCCCCAGTCTGGGGTTACGGGTGTGTGCCACCAAGCCCAGCTAGCAATTTTTGACTTTTGAGATTTTTCTTTGACAAAGAAAGAACAGACAAGTGGGATGGAGTGAAGAGATGTAGAGACATTACAGTAGGGTGTATTTCTTCTTTCCTTTCTGGTACTTGGGATTGAACTCAGGACCTTGCCAAATCCCTAGCCCTATATTTCTGTGATAAGCATTTAGCGTGGTACTGTAAGACTTTCTCCTAACCTCCTAAGCTCTCATCGCAGTCCTGATCAGGGCCGTCCTTGGTGTTTTGTCGTCCACAGTCTCAGCTTCGTGGAGGAGATGGCAGCCAAGGCTACAGACAAATGGCTTTTAAAAAATTTGGTCGAAACTGGTGTGGCAAAAACATCTGTTTCTTGGCTGCAAACTAATGTTATTTTACTCTGTATCTTCCTTAGAAAACTGTCCTTTGAAATTCTATAAAAGGATAACTTTTTTTTTTTTTGTACTGTGGGTCAAACTCAGGACCTTGTTCTTTCGAGGCAGGCGGCGGAACCACTGAGCTAAATCCCCGGCCCAAAAGGATAACTTCTAGCAAAATAATTGGATTCGATGCTTTAAGATGCTGGCCATTACCTGAAAGAACAGGTAAGATTGGACTTGACAGTGACTCCAGGTAAACAGCCTAAGAGTTGCTTCTTCTACACCTCCCTGTTGCTCAGATGTGGCTAAAGGTGTGGGGGGGGTGGACTGTGAAACCCTTGTCTCTTCTCCTTTAATGTGGGTCCAGATAAGACCAACAACCGCTGGTGCTGGTGCACACCTATTAACCCAACACTCGCGGAGGCTGAGTCAGGAGGATTGCAGATTGGAGCCCAGTCTGGGCAATTTAGAGAGATCTGTCTCAAAATTTAAAAAAAAAAGGCTGGGGACAGAACTCAGTGTAAAGCCCTGGGTTCCATTCCAGCAAGGAGAAACCAAAAACCATACAAAAGAAAAGTAAATACAGGTGTGTTGCGGATTTAGATTTAGCTCAGTGGTGCCTGTGTCTGGAAAGTACGAAGTCCTGAGTGTGACCCCTTGTACTGGGCGGTGCACGGAGGGGGACGTAGGCTTTGCTGATCCGTCTCTGCGGTCATTCCCAGGCCAGGCGAGCAGGTGTGACGTCGCGTGGGGAGCCCTTCCCCTGGGATGAAGCCGGAAGACATGTGAGGAGGTGACATGTTCTTGGTCACTGTGCACCAAGGTCCTGGGCCTACCTAGTGCGGCCAGGAGGAAGCCTGCTGGCTTGGGGAGGTCCCTAGTGTGGGAGAAACTTGCAGGCGTTGTGAAACAAAACCCAAGCCCGGGGTGGGCTCCCCCCTAGCAGTGCCAGGCCACACAGGCTGTCACCGCTGTCCACAGCTTCAGGGAGTCCCTGTGCGGAGGACACCACCTGCTGGGCTGCAGGATGCTCCGGGACCCAGCTGGGCGCAGGTGAAAGCCACCTCCTGCCGGTCTGTGATGGTAGTGCAGCCTGCTGGAGAACTCCCACAGCCATGCCCATCGCCGGCCAGCTGGCCCGGCCCGGCGCCTTCTGGGGGCCACCTGCCCCCTTCCAGTTGGACCTCAAGCCTGCTCCAGGGGAGGGGACTCGAGCTTGGCGCTGTGAGGACCTCAAGGGAGAGCTGAGAAGTCGTAGCCCAGCAGGGGGGCTGCTGCTGTTTTGTGACAGGCTGTGATGTTTGTCTGTGCCCCCAGGTTTCTGTAATTGCCAGCCTCTCTCTGATGGTTATGTGGGGAACCTGTCCTCCCCGTTCCAGGGAGCCTGCCCTGGAATGCGCTGTCCCTGGCCCAGAAGTGGGAACCCCGTAGGATTAAGGAACTGTGTTGAGCTTCTTCTTTCCCAAGGTTTTCCGAGGAACCTTGTCCAGTGTGTATTGAACTGGGGACGTGTGCTTTTTATTGACGTTTGTGCCATTTCAGGAGCGAGTGTCCACGGCTGGAGCCTGTCCCGCTGCTGTAGAGGAGCAGTCCTGTGCTCAGGTCTCAGTCACAGGCGGAGACGTCTCCTGCAGGCTCAGGGACAGAGGGTGGACTGGGGACAGTGGCCCTCCACACCCTGGCCGTGGCTGTGCCATCTCGTAGCGGCCCTGGACAGCTACACAGCCTGTGTCAGGCCCCGAGAGGCTGGACGGGGCTCCCTGCGACCTCAGGCTCCTGGGTAGGACAGGAGTGGAGCTGCACAGCCACTCGCTGACTCTCGCACCGTGGGCCCTGCCTCTGGCATTTGAATTAACTCCGTAAAGTGGGAAACTAGCCAGGTACCACAGCCCACCAGCCTCCGCTCTGCAAGGCACCCCTAGTAACAGCCCTGGCCAAGCTGGACTTGTCTGAACTGCTCTTTCTCTGTGGCCCCTCTCAGCTCGGAGCCTGACGTTTCTTCTGTGTCTCTCTGGGAAATTCAGGGAGCAGGGCCACTTTGGGCCTCTAGAAAACGAGCCATTACCTGGACCTGAGCTCCTGCTGTCCTGGCTCCCGGGAAGCTTTCCAGGGTGCATGCTGGACTCAGTAACCATGCAGACTGACAGGGAGCACCCCGGTCAGCCCAGCCGGCTAAATGCTGCAGGCTGGGGACAGGCTCCTCACAGAGCTGGGGACAGGAGCTCCCGAGCTCTTACCCAAGCACATCCTCCCGGGCAGCGCTGAGTTCGGTTTTTAACACCTTTGCCCTCTACCCATTAAGATCATCACAACTTTTTCTTCGGAGAACTTTTTAGGTTTTTTTTTTTTTTTTTTTTCTCGTAGTACTCGGGATCGAACTTTGGACCTTTCGCTTATGAGGCAGGTGGCAGCACCACAGAGCTAAATCCCCAGCCCTCAGAGCACTTTTTATAGTACAATTTAAATCTGTGTTCCCTCCAGTGTTGACTCACAGCTGGCTCAAGCTTTCTTTTACCCACAGTCATCAGTGTTAGTGGCCATGCCTCCTTTCCAAATTTACTGTGTCTGTGAACAAGTCTGAAAATTATCCCGACCGTTATACCAAGCCAGTGAGAGAACACCAAGCACCGGGACACACATAAAACTGAAAGAAGTTTATTCTACATGTGAGGACTCCACTCTCTAAGAGAAGTGAAGCCCCGTTACAGGATTGTGCATAGGTTTTATAGGGTTTTTCTAAACAAAAAAGTTCAAAGTAGGTCAGGGCTGTGTCGCAGCTGCAAAGGGGAGAAACTTCAGATACCTTTACTCATCTTACTCTTGTCTTACAGGTGTAGTGTTTTATGGTCCCCTTTAACATCCCATCTGTTCCCGGGCATGCTTGTTAATCAAGCCTGCGATTAGCACAAAAAGGTTTTTGCAGTTTGAGCAGTTTTCCCTGCTGTTTGATGAGGGGAGGAGAAAACAGTCTTTGGGCCATTAGCTGGCTAACACGGAGTCACTTCAGCTCAGTCAGGTCTCACACCAACAGGCTGGGGATTTAGCTCAGTGGCGCCGCGCTAGCCTCGCAAGTGCAAGGTCCTAAGTCCGCTCCCCGGCATAACCAAAAAAAAAAAAAAAAAAAAAAAAAAAAAAATCATTCCCGAGGTTTCACGGCTTATGGTGGCCCATACTTTTCATAATTTAAATGACAGCTGGATAGGTTATGATCATTTCCTTTAGAATGACTTCCTAGGACTAAAATTGCGTTTTTCAAATTCCCCAATGTTCCCGGTTCACGCCGCAGGCGCTCACGGGATGGAGTTCCAGTTTACTACAGCTGGGCTGTGAATTTCCTGCGGAAGTTGCTGGGCGCGAGAAAACTTCCAGACCTTTTCCGTAAACGTCGTTCTCAGACGCGAGGGGGCGTGGCTTCACATTCCTACACAATTGGTCAGCAGCCCCAGGGGCATGCGCACACGCTGCTGCTTCCTGCTTCCCGCTCGTGCAGGGCCTTCTGGGAGTTGTAGTCAGCGGCCTCCCCGCGCTGGGCTCCGAGAATCTCCGGAGGTCCAAGGCTGGCCGCAGTCCTTTGCGCTCG